GAGTGGAATGACAACTTGCTCTGAGAGCCCTGAGAAAACCTGGATCCCTAAAAATTGCTTGTCTTCGGAATGTCCCTCCCCTGAATAGCTACTAGATGCAACTCAATCCTACCGGCTCAACCACCAACACAAAATAATCATTCATTCCAAGAGGAATCAATGACTATATAATCACATTTCTCAGTTCAGATAAAAATTGGTGACACTTCTCATCTGCATTTGGAATCAACTATGTGCATACCTTGAGAGCATAGTGAATTCTGCCTCGTATTGCATTATCGAGCGATCACCCTGTACAAACCAGATAAACTTGTTATGTATTTGCCTCTAGAATAATAGTAGTACGAACTAGTCTCTAAAAGTGCTCATGAACTCGTCCCACTATATCATTTAGTTGGTTCCACCCCCATAGTACTCCTCTAACTGACCTCACCACCATCTCTTTACCTCTCCTAATGCAAATATGGCCAATGTAACCATCCTCTCCGGAGGACAAGGTAATCCATCTAAGATTTTTTCCACTCTAAGCAGTCAGTTCTCAACATCAACCAGACCTCCTCTTCTAGAAAAGAGAGTTGGTCTCATATCCTGAAATAATTTTAATAATTTGTACATCTGACCTCTCCCACTAGAACTTACCTGAGACTGAAAATTCTTAATCAACTATGTTACTGCAGTCATCATCTCGTTAAATGTATTTGTATTCACAGTAATCTGTGAGAGTGTATCAACTTCTATCATATCATCTCTAGTCTCTTCATTTTTCATATTTTTGAAATAATGAAGGAAAAATTTTAATTAAATACAATCTATCCCTTTATTAATATTACCTATAAATTAATTTGATAATTCTAATGACTTTTAGATCATTATCAAACTTAGTCTCTCTAATGTCACTTTTGTCACGACTCGGTCTGATAGCTTGGAATTAACTAAGTCAGAAACAACAGTCGAATGGTGAAAACATTTAAATCATTATCCAAATATTTATAAAATCTTCTAATATATAAAGAATCACTAAAATCCAAAAAGTGCAATAATATCACAGAAACAACATTTGTAGAGAACATCTCAAACCAACACCAAACAGTATATCACAATCCTAAAGAAAACATTACAAATAAACTATCATCATAAATATCTGACAACAGTAGTTCTCCTCCTGTAAACCAGATCTCTCATATCAGACATCAACCTAAAGATTTTCTTTTTCTTAAAGAAATTATTAATTTCAACAGTAAGTTTGACTTAGCGAGCAATTATCATCTTAATATGCATTAAATTATTATGTCAATGCTATACATGAATGACCAAAACAATATATTATTTTATAAAACTGTAAACATTCACTTTAATTATTATCCATTCTCATTTTACTTTAACTATTTACATTTTTTAACCTCTTCAAGAGTCATAACAAGATTAGTATCATACCCGAAAGTATCCTAAAAAATGTACCTGAATGTGCCCTAAAAAATGTATCACAAGGTACTCTCGAAGTTGCACTCGAATATACTCCTTTATCATTTCATTTATCGTGCACGGGTAAATCGCATCCTCTGCCAGTACCATATGGGTAATCTTGTATGACTTAAAACTTTACTTAACATTTCATATCAATTAAAATCCTTTAAAAATGTACTTTTCTATGTTAGTAATTTTCCTCCCATTTGTGAAATAAATTTCAAACTTTCAATTTGTAGGACATAAATGAAATAATTATTTTAAACTATCTAATAAAGTAATTATTTCTTTAATAAAACTTTAATTTAATGCATAAAATTAAATAATTACTCACCTTTGCTTTCAAAAGGCCTCTGAAATACTTATTCCCCCACTAACTTCTTTGACTAATTCCTATATTAGTTAAATGTGCATGAATAAGAATCTCATTCTAAGAAAAAACTTACATATATGTAATGACACATAATTAAATTGACATATAAATCAATAAGGCAATTCTTTACCTTAAAATTTGGCTTGCTTCCTTGCACAAGTCTTCTCTTTCTCCCCTCAATCTCAAAACTATGTCTCCCTCAACTCAAGTACTTCTTGATTTCAACTACATTTATTATTAATACTTAAAAGATAAACTTAAACATTACATATATAATTCATCAATTAAATTAATATAACCCAAACTTACCTTACCAATAATTGTTCGACTCGATAGTCCTTCTCACACAATCTTCCAATAACAAAGCTTGTTTTAAATCATAAAAAATAAATGTTAATATAATAATCTATTTAATTATTTAACTTTATATATTTTAAAACTTAAAACTAAATCAAATAAAATTATTTAACTTAAAATTAAAACTCAAAATCTTTACCATAAATAAGTTCGGTCGGTTGCCCTATCTCACACACGCCCGAAGTTTGTCTTCCCTTCTCCTCTTCTTCAGGCACGCGAGCACCGCAGAACTCTTTCTCCTCCCTTTTCTCCTTCAATCGTGCTCACCCGGACAGAACGCCCGTGCTTCTTCCTCCGGCTAGGGTCCAATGTGAAGGTTTCCCCTCCCATCTCTGCATGCGAGCACGACACAAAGGTTTTCTTCTTCCACCAATTTATTTTTCTTCTTCTTCTTCTTCTTCTTTCCTCTCCTTCACACAATACTTGCGCACGAAGATGTGGCTTCCTTAATCCTTCTCAACTTCAATCTGCTAGGGCTCAGCACAAGTCAACATGCGTGATCTTTCTCCTTCCTTCTGCAGTTGCCTCACGTCTCTCAGTTACAATAATTTGAAAGGGGATACGACTCTTCTGTCGTAACTGAAGAGGTACGTATCCCAACACGTACTCTACTTTATTATTATTATTTATTTACTTATTCAAATTTTTTAGTTATTACATCATGGTTGCCTCTTACGTCCCGGGCTATTAAACTTATGAGGCTTAACATGGTTGGCTGCCAAGAAATGAGTGATAACTTAATCTCATGATAGGTTTTTGTTTTCAGAGTTACCATTATCAATTGTTGTTCATTAATCCTTACTCAACATCAGCCTCTGCTAATATATTTATACGCTTTATTGATTTTTATTCATCATCACCATTGTCTCCAACCTCTAACTACTGTCGGTGGTGTTCATCCCACTTGCACCTTCCCTTCTTCAATTTTCCAACATTTGAAGCATGTCTATACTAAGTTGGTCTCACTTACGTCGTCCATTCTTCAAGTTTCCAGCAATTGCAGCTTACATATATAAGAAGACAATGTCTACTCCAAAAAATTGTTCCACGGAGAAAAAAATTTAAGCAATTGTACCTTATCAAGCATATGGAGATCTCCAAAACATCCATAAAACATATAGAAACCATGAAAAAACCTGCTTAAAATGATCCAACATAGTTTAAAATTTTCTCAGATGAAACGGGATATTGAATCACTTGTTTATGTTTCTACCCACTGCAAAAGAAAATTGAGACACCGTGTGATCAACACCTCTAAAAGCAAAGAATGTAGCTCAAATATATGTGATCAAAATGAAGAACAACAATACCAAACAAGATATTAAATCCATCACAAATTATGTCATTCTAATGAAGAATATTATGTGAAAAGAAATAGAATTTGTCGAGCCATTAAATTGAAGTCCATCAAGCATGAGAATAAAATGAAAAACTTCATTAAGAAGGATATAGCATATGACTCTCTTGCATGCCTTAGTTTGATCAAATTAGCATTCAAATCATGGGAGCAAACATCCATAATGTCCTTGAAATTAATCAAAAGTTTTCGATATTCATGTATCTTGTTTTTTTATCGTTAGTATATATTTTAGGTTATGTGATGTTTAACATGATTTGTCCTTTAATAAACTATATGGGACCATAATATTATTTCTTATTATGTTAATTATGTAATTGATATTGTGATACATAGAAGAGAATGTGTCGATAAATTAATACACAACTGTCATAATTCATATTAATTTCATATTTATTGATGATTTATGATTTGACCAATATAAAAAATGTATTTACCTTACATTTTGTGCAGTATGTTATGCGTTATTAAATATCACATGGGTCAAGTAAGAGAATGTTAGTTTTTCATTATTTTATTTATGTGGCCCACGATTATTTATTTTAATAATAATAATAATAAATATAAATAATGAAATTAATTAATTAAGGATAAAAGGGTCGTGTTTGTTCCCAACAGACACTGTATCATTTCGCTTTAATTAATTAATTAATTAAATTATCTTAAATCTTATTGGTCAGTAACTAGCATAATGGATGGTGGTCAATAACGGATAATTCAGAGAAGGGACATGACTCTTCTCAATAGACACCTTATCTTTTCTTTGATAATTAAGAGAAGAGTCATCTCTCTTTCAAATATATGTCGTATATTTTCTCTTCATCAGAAAGTACAAAAAGTAATTAACGATTAGATAGAGAAATTTCATCTCTTCATATCTAATTCTACAATCATGAATATAAGTATGTTTCTCTTAGTTATGGGTATGTGAAAATCATGAATTAGAATATCTTTGTCATTATGTATTTTAAGAACTTGGGTCATGAAATTTGATGAAAAATTTAATAGTAAATCCGAACATGGATTTAAAAATTCTAACACAACATGTATTATAGACCGCATGCCACTTGTAACTAGAATAAAGAGAGATCAATAAAGTCCTCTAAAGTTTTATCACAATTACATACCTCCAAATCATACTTTGAAAGGCATAGGAAACAAGCCTCAAACCTATTAAAAAATTCACATGTCTAATATAAACTGTTAATCTTTATTTGGTTATGAACCAAGCCCTAATCCAACGAAACAATATTAAAAATAAAATTGAATATTTTTAACGATAGAAATATATTCAAATTAAATATATCATCTTATTTTAAGACTAAGCCGATGCTTGTCCCAAATAAATATACGCCTAGAATAGCCTATGGTATGACCAACCGAAGTAGAAAGCAAAGCAACCCAAACCCTAATTCTGATTGATATAGAGATGGAACACAGGCGTCTCACATTCTGTGTAGTGAACGTAGTACTCGTAGTCGTTGTTTCCAGAAGAAGGAACCTTTCGTCGCTCGATAACCTTGACTGGGTGGAGATTATGGTCCCTCCATCTACACATCACGCGCGTTCCCACCTCCAACGGCAGACCCCCCGCCTTTGCTTTCTTCACTGCCGCATCGTCGATTTCTATAAAACCCGCCGACGGAACGTCGATTTCCATCGCCGGCGAGGTGGTCACCATCTGATGAGCGCCGCTGTTGCACTGGGGAGCGGCGGCACCTCCACCGTTTATGCCCTCGATTGAACCCATGGATAGCACGGTTGGGTATAGTTGGCAATTAGAGAATTTGGTGGGGTATTTACATGGTTGACATTAGAATTTAATATTTATCGACTCCATTTCTAATGTAGATATTTAAATAAGCTTGAAACTGTTTTTTTTTTTTTTTTGATATTTAAATAAGCTTGAAACTGTTTTTTTTTTTAAAATAATGGTGATATTTTTTCTATGACATTAAATATTTTAAGTTCTTGTAAATATAAAAATTTGTGTGAAATTTATAAATAGGTAAGAATGATGTGTGTATGTATTTGCGTTTTAAATAAATGCCTAGGATCAATAGCATTTGGGGTTTTTTTGTGATGCTTTCTTGTTTGTGTTGCAATTAAGAGGAGAAAAATTTGTGTGCGTAAGACGTACACAGCGCTGTAAACATTAAAGAGATTATTCAGAGGATATTTGAGTGTTATATCCACGTTATACCCTCTTGTAACTTCCATGTAACATACAAATAAATTCCGTGCTTCTACGTACACAGCGCTGTAAACATTAAAGAGATTATTCAAAGGGTATTGGAGTGTTATATCCACGTTATACCCTCTTGTAACTTTCATGTAACATACAAATAAATTTCGCGCTTCTGTTTTTATATATTTGTAAGTTACAAAGAGATTACAAGAGATATAAAGAGAATATAATCCTCCAATACCAGAGATATAACGCTAATATAACTCCCAATACCTTCTATATAACATTCTGACGTACGCAGCGCTGTGTACGTCTTACGTACGCAATTTTTTTCTCAAATAAGAGAAGTTCGATGAATTTACAAATATTAACACGATGTCACAAACCTATGTTTAAAAAAGATATAAAAAATTTGAGTAACATGCTTGTAAAAGTGAACGCGGGTGCTAGATATCTAATTACATACGAATTGTGATATATATATATAAATATATACATTTATTTCTTTATTTATTTAAAAGCATCTAAAATGTATAATAGTTATTCGGTTCAACCATCCAATCACTCTATTCATCTAGGATCCACTTGAAATGAATGGTAGTTTTTCATTATTTATTTAAACGCTTTTATTTAATATATTTTTCCACAATAAATAAATAATTTTTTTAAGTATATAGAACACGGGTTTATTAGAGAGTCCGCCCTTCCATTGAAAATGAATAATGTTTTAAGTTCACAAATAAAAAAAAATGATTAATTAATTAAAAAAAAACACGAGCCTTTTATTCAAGCCTACAACCACGTCATAACTTTACAGTTGATTAAATTATTAGTAATATTTTAGATATACATATAAACTTTAATAAAATGGCACTCTAATAAAATTATCATTGCAATACACAAGTCCGTTAGCTGTTTAAATATTTTTAAAATTAAGAATACTTACACACATACCACTCAATATTTATGAGTAAAAGCACAAAATAACCCTTCAACCACGAAGAAGTAGCCAATTTAATTTTGGGCTTTAGAATGCTCCAACTTAATCTCAAATTATTAAAAATTACTCCAAATTGATTTAAAATCATATATTGTTCATCAAAATTAACAAAGGCCCGCATGAGTTTAAAGATATATATATATATATATATAGTGCCAAAATAGCCCGTTACTATTTTCATGTGTCATTCTAACCATTGCTTTTCATAGTTTATAAAAATATCAAATTAGCCCTCAAAAAGATAATGGTATGTGTTTAAATTATCACCAAGCACGACTATTTTAAGCTCGTTTACAAAAAAAAAAAGAGGACTAAATTGATGTTTTTACAAAAATGACCCGTCCGGCTTCAATATACGAAATCTGGCAAGTTTCACGCATTCAATTCAAATACTAAATTGATGTTTTTACAAAAATGACCCGTCCGGGACCATTTTGACACTTCAATATACGAAATCTGGCAAGTTTCACGCATCCAATTCAAACCAGCATTTAAAAACTAAAACAAACCCAAAGAAAAGATAAGATCACATCGTAGGCACCGGTAGTTCTGCATTAAACAAACTATGAAAAATGCTTCAGATCCTAAGATATACTTCCCAGATGGTGCATCCAAGTGAAGTGCATTTAGCGATAGCCTGAATAATTTAAGCAATAATTTCAAAGTAAATACAAGGATTTCTAATCACCTAACAGCACGCTTTTACAAGGGTAAGGTCTCCACTACTAACATTAGGGTTTCAAGAAAAGCAGCATCAGCCATCAGATCCCTCACTATTCTAACAGGAACAGTCTGAATAAAAAACAGGCTGCTAAAACAACAGTTTTTTTGCATGGAGAAAAGAGGCATAAAATAAAGCTCAGAAGACTCAAATTAATGCTTTAACAACTTAACTCACCTTCTCTTTTACCTCTCTCTCTCTCTCTCTCTCTCTCTCTCTCTCTCTCTCTCTCTTCCTCTCTCACACAAAGAAGTCCGGTTTCTGCAACTGTACACCAATTCCATATTACCAACAAAAGGATGATAAATAGCAAAAGCTGGCACGATTCTGATGGCTCGCCACATGCATTGCAGCCCCATTGAAGGCTGATTACCTCTTCCTCCTCTTTGTTTCAACCTGACCCTGTCCCTGTCCCTGTCCCATAAGGGAATGAGAATTCGGTCTGCCTTGCATGTAAAACAAAGGCGAGTATTCACGTACATACCACCCAATTCCTATGTATTTACATATCTAACACCTAATCTTTACTTCCTTTTTTATATGCTAGCCACCTTAACCTCTTCGTTGAAAACTTAGCCATTTAACAAAAAAATCTTAGGTTCAAGACCTTGCATATGTTTGTGATTAAATTTGCTCAAATTTCCCCCCCAAAAAAAAAAAAAAAAATTTTTACATTTATCCACCAAAAGCTTTCATCACATCAAAACACACTTTTTTAACTTTTAAAAAGTGAGCACAACTTTCCTTCGTAGGAAAGGTGGTATATATGTAAAAATTAAGTTTAGGTGTTAGATATATGTAAATACATATGAATTGAGTGGTATGTATGTAAATCCTCCTAAAAGAAACTGGATCATAAGCAAAAACTAAATTGAAAAATTAATACAGGAAACATTCAAATAAGATGGTTCGTAAGCACTTTTGACAGTAGGCATCAGAATCGGTGTTCTGCTTGAATGTGCTTTTAGTTTGACAGTCCGCTGACAAAAGCGCGCCATTTTATATCCTTTTAGTGACATGAAGTCTATTCCACAAACAAGACAAACGGTGGAATGAAATCATCATCAGTAATCTTATTTGAATTAGTTGAGGTAGTTTCTGCGGCCTCGTTTTTTTGTTTATTTCTACTGAGTGTTGTATGAGACATTAAAATTATTCTTCGCAAATAATTTTAACACTACAAACCCTAATCTTTTGACACTCATTTAATGCAATCATCAGATGACTACATCTTCAACCCTACATTGTACAAGCCGAAACCACCCAAATCTATTTTAATTAACTTGTTATTAAGAAATGCATGCCAATCATTCATTTAATAAAATTATTTCTCAACTCATTCTTTCTAGTTTTGCCACAGGCGCGCCAAATATTCCAATTTCAGTAGCACTTAGCTTTGTTATTGAATATCACTTATTTTTTATTCATTTAATCTCATTGTTTATTTCGTACATAATAATTTACAAGCAATGAAAAAAGCTTATAATGAAAAAATATGGTAAAAATAAAATAATGGAAAGACATGGTTTCAAGCGACAGAAAAGAAATTAATGTCTCTTCATCAATAGGAAGCTCCCTTATTTAATAGGAGCCTGAGTATAATGTTTAGAGGAATAACAAAACAAACATAATCCACCAAGTATAAATAGAAACAATTTAATTAAATACCAACGAGTATAGTCCCGTTCAAATTGGAGCATGTATCAGTCAACTCCAATGATACCGGAGTTGACCCAAATCATGACCGAACAACAAATTTTATTGCTGAATTCAAAAATAACAACAACGAATTCTCAACATAAAACAACACAAACATCTAAACCACAAGTAACCACAAAGACGCAACAAAATAAGAAAGAAGACAGAACAAAACACATAAATGGCCCCCTAGAGGAGGGCGTCAGGCCCTGAAGGGAAGGAAGTGACGTCAGTGCTAGAGGTTAGATGACAGCATGTGGCAGCAGAGTTGGATGGCGTAAGAGGGCTGGCGGCCTGCTAAGAGGAGGCTGGCAGCAAGTGGTTGCGGCTTAGGAGAGAGTAGGAGAGGTGTCGGGGGAGTGGACAGCCGCAGGAAGCGATGGTGAGGACATGGACAGCAGCAGGGACCGGTGTCCGGGGTTGAACAGCAGCAGGAACAGGCTCTGAAGGGGCTCATGACTGTTGGAAGGCGATTGGAAGCACGGGCAACAGCAGGAAGAGGGGCCTGAAGGCCTGTACAGTGGCTCAACAACGGCATATAGGAAGGCTGGGGCAAATAAGAGATGGCAGGGAATAGGTGGAAGGGGAATATCAAAGGATAACTATCCCCGTGGGATCAAGTTACAGCCGGAGCACCCCTCAAACCGTTAGAGAAGAGAACCACGTCGAACGAATTACAACAGGAGCACCACCTTGAACGAGTTACAACCGGAGCACCTCCTCGCCTTCGATACAGCCCTAGATGGGAAAACAATAGCCGAAGGCAAGCTAGAAAAAAAATCTGAAATCATGAAGACTATAAACTAACCCTAACCAAAGCAAACAACACTAATATAATGTGGAAAAGTATATATAATAGGTAAGGAATATAAATAGAAAGGTGATGGAAAAGGAAGGAGGTATACAAGGAAAGTGCTAGAAAAAGAAAGGCTAGACAAGACAAGAAACCAAATAGAAAAAAGAGACTGTGGTATTGTAGCAGCTACAGTACTGCGTCCCAGTAAACTCCCACGTCAATCTCTCGGGGTTGGGGGGAGGTCTTTGACTTAATTTGTCGAAACTTACGGTAATTGTAGTATCAAGAGATTCGCGATATTGAACGTCACGAAAACATTGTTGTCTCCTAACAGGTCAATCTTATAGGTGTTATCATTCCACAACACGTCTTTATAAAATAAATATGGATTATATCTTGACACGTCCCAAGTTGGGGTTGTATATAAATGTAGTTACTGCAGTATAACTTTTGAGCCCTTAAGTTTGTAACAATCTTCTTCCACTTCTCGTACTCAACAAAATGTAGCTCATAACCAATATGGGAGGGGAGATCAACTCTGGGGTGGACTCTGTTTCAAGTTGCACCATTCTCACTAGCAACCACTAAAGAGAGACCACTTCTTCATTGATAAGACTTAAATCCCACGAAAGTTTGGGGAGCATCAGGAACAAGACTGGAAGACCAGTGTGGCTGCTGAAAGTCGGCTAGAAGCACGGACAGCAGCAGGAAGAGGGACCGGAAGGCCTATGCGATGGCTGGACAGAGCCTCGAGGGCTGGAGGGCAGCGAAATATAGGAAGGATGAGGCGTATGGAGATGGCAACGAGCGGGTGGAGAGAAATATGGAAGGATAACTATTCCTGCGGGATATAGTTGTAGAAGAAACACACCTCGAGCCGTTGGAGAATATCACCACCTCAGACGAGTTACAATCAGAGCACCTCCTCGCCTTCAGATACAACCCCAGAAGGGAAAAAAACCGCCAACAGCAAGCTTGACAAAAATCAGAAATTAGAAAGGCCAAAAACAGACCCTAGCCAAAGCAGAAAAACACTCATACATAATGAGGAATAGTAGATAGAATAGATAAGAAATAAAAATAGAAAGGTGATGGAAAAGGGATGCCAAGGGCTAACTCATAACTCATAACTCATAACTGATGATGAATATCTGTATACACTAACTCATAACTCCTGCAACAAAGAAGATCTCTAACGAATTGATGGTAAGACTAATTTATAGAATAACCAAAAATAATGAGAGGTATCCTTAAAAGCTTCCTATGTAGTAACCATGTTCTGAGTGTCAATGGCAATGCCAGTAAGTTTGAAACCTAGAAGACTAATTTCCTTAGGAAGGCTCAAGAGATATTTCTTTAAAATAAAAAGAAATTATATTCCCAAAAGTATTTCAACATGACGATCATTTCAATAAGGCACTCATTTCAAGTATTCATAGTTCATTTTCACCCAATATCCTACAGTAACATCTAGTATCGATTGATGTTGCATTCAAATCTATTTGTGGGTGATGCCAGAATTTTACTAGCAAGAGTATCAATTCAAGGGAAAAAAAAAAGTGAGAGAAAGAAGGTTTAGAGAAAAAAGCTCTGAAATTTCACAATATTGTTGTCTAAAACTGAAAGCACAAACTAATATGAGAACCTGATTAAGTGTCTATGAGTCTCTTTGTCCCCTTTATTTATAAGATAAAATCAAGGTATAATGCAATAAAAATGGCCACATACAAGTAAAGTTACAGGAACGTGTTAGTTTATGAAATAAATAGAAAAACTCATTATGAGTTTGAAGGACAAGATGTTTGAGAATAAAACATTGTGACTTCACTTTGAGCTAGTGAGTAGCTTTACATGTTCAGAGAACATTGATAGTTAAATTCATATGTCAGTTAAAATAATCTCAGGGACAAATATAACATTGTAACTTCACTTCGAGCTAGTAAATGGCCTTACATGTTCAGAGAACTTTGATAGTTAAATTCATATGTCAGTTAAAATAATATCAGGACCAAATATAGGTTTAGTCTAGTACAAATGTGAATATAATGGCGATTATAGAGTAGAAGTGTCCAGTAATCTTGACAACTTGAACTGATGAATTCGTTAACAAGATCATTTTATTTTATAGCAACTTAAAACATTGGGAGAAGTTAGGTTTACTTACTTGCAACGTACTTGAGCCTGGTTCTAGGAAGCAGCAACAAGTGATTGACTCAGTCCAAGTTATATTGTACACATGGAAAAAAAAAATTAATGACAAAGAAAAGACAAGACAAAAGCCCGAGGAAAGATGATCAAAGAAGATATAAGAATGAATGGAATAATCAAAACATTATTGTTTACCTTCCTAAAAGGTAAGAGGTGCCTCGATATCAAAAAACACTTCATGAGAAGGATACTCACCCGGATTGAACAATGTAGCTTGAGGTTTTGTTGGAGCGGAAAATAAGGTCATGTGTAAACCTATAAAGATGGATAGAAGATGAAGGAAAGTTTCGCGCGTATTCATAATAGTAACATCTACTAAAGTATTTATGCACCTTGTAGTTCAATCATAACAATTGTAGCCTTTTTGAGAAATGACTATCCAAAAAGATGCACTTGATGACCCAAATGGAGGTTTGTCAACAGTATGAAAAGCATATAAAAATAAAATAAAAATTTACTCAAGTTAAAATAAGAAAAGAGGGTTATGGATCGATGATACCGGGGTTAACCCAAATCATAACAGAAATAGAAATATTATTGTTGAAATTCAAATAAGTTATATGGCAACTCTCCACAATAGAAAATAGATGGCAACAACACAAAAGAAACCCTAGCACGAGGGCAAAAGTGGTGGACACAGGCGGGACAGTAGACGATGGATTGAACGGCTACGACATTTGTCAGAAAAGAGAGCTAGGGACAAGTTTGTGGT